AGCTGGTCCAAACTGAAGTGGCTTCCTTTCTATAAATCCAATTTGTTATGCCCTACTCCAAGAGCCGGACCGACTCCCCAATTACCCCAACCATTTCAGTGGCCCAACTCCAAAACCACCCACCTCTACGTGATCCTTTTGTCCTCTTCTTCTTCTTTCTTTTCTTTGTCCTCCTCCTCTTTCTCTCAATCTCTCTCTCCTATGTTTCTCTCTTCCTCATCACGAGCACACGCACACGCACACGTGCAGATGTGAGGTCAGATAGATCTTGAAGATCTTCATGCATCATATCTGAAGATTGGTTGGAACTGAAACTAATCGATCTTGAACATTTCTAATTTAGTTTGGTTGTTATAGTAACGTTAGTGAAATCTGAATCCCAACTGAACCATATGTATTCTTCTTACTACTTTATCCAGATCACCGACTCAATAATTTGTCACCATATTATATAATTAATGCACATGAGCAACAAATTATATATTTTGTTTAGTCTTTTTCTTAATAGAATGAATATTTTATTTCGTCAAAATTTATTATTATTAAAAGAATAGACAAGATACCTGCCAAAAAAATAAAAATAAAAGACTGGATGAACAATTGACTACACCTCAGTTTCCGTTCCAATCACCACTTGGCGAGTATCCCGTCATCGGTGACCTCCACCCAGAAAGAGCCAAACAAACAATGCTTATTTATCCTATCAGATAACCTAACCTAACCATTAATTAAGCTCATGAGCAACCAAGTGAAAATAATCGCAACCAACTACAAATAAGTATCGAACTCACGATAAATAAGAGGGTTGAACTTGTATTTATACGAGTTTGATTCCCATTCGACAATTAAATATAACTTAGATAATAAAAAACCATTTAAGTATGGTACGTAACAACTGTTAAATTCACTAAAAAACCAAAATGAAAAATTGTATATATATATGCCTTGCACATTGCATACAGCCTGCCTGAGCACCATATAGCCTTTTGTTTTCTGAGTGTCTGAGTTTTAGCAAGCAGCTAGCTAGCTTGTGTGTATAATGGCGGACGAGGTTGTTCTTTTGGACTTCTGGCCAAGCATGTTTGGGATGAGGGTGAGAGTTGCCCTGGCTGAGAAGGGTGTCAAGTATGAGTACAGAGAGGAGGATTTGCCCAACAAGAGCCCACTACTTCTGCAGATGAACCCGGTTCACAAGAAAATCCCGGTTCTCATCCACAACGGAAAACCGGTCTGCGAGTCAACCAATATTGTGCAATACATTGATGAGGCTTGGAAGGACAAAGCTCCTTTGCTTCCCTCTGATCCTTACCAGAGAGCTCAGGCCAGGTTTTGGGTTGATTACATTGATAAGAATGTAAGTTCTTTTGCCTTAATGTTGTCTAATTAATTAATTTAGTATATATATTTTGTGAACTTTCAATCTAATATGACATGAGGGGAGATCTTGTTAGTTCAATGTTCAATAACAAGATTTCAGCTGATCAATACTTCAGATTCACAGTTTCTAGCGTAACCTAACGTGCTAGTGCACACAAAAGAAAATTAAAATTGTTTGATGCAATATTTTTGTGTTGCAGTTATACGAGGCTGGGAGGAAAATATGGGCCACAAAAGGGGAAGAACAAGAAGCAG